CTTTCAGTTACAATGGACTCTAATAACTTACACGGCAGAGAAAGTACATCAAAATGTCCGTAGAAACTTTTCAATCCACTTCAGCAGTAAATCTACATCTTTGTTATCCAGTCACGTTTGCGATATGTTCCAAAACACTTATATTTTATATGAAATATATCTAAATACACAGCTTCCATTTCTAGTTAGCGAATTAAGTTTCTTCGAGGAAAAAGCTCACCATGCAAGGTATAAACTGGATCGTTTTTTATACTTTCCTTCTGCCATGAAAAGTCATTATTGTAATGCATTGTAACTGACCGAACTCAAGCTCAACACACCTGCTGTTCTGCGGAGAGGACAAAACTTTCAACTTTCAGCAGCCACTTTTCAAGCCTACATGGACTGGGAATCTCATAATAAATAGATGGGTGGAGTAACACTTTTAATTGTAGGGTGATATAAAAAAAAAAAAGAAAGGCAGGAAACAAGTGAAAAAAGTTCCAGGGCAGAGTTAGTTGTTCCTATATAGAGAGGAGCACGCAGAGGGTGCCTTTGGAAACAAGTTTAAGTTATATCATTTGGGGGTTCTCAGAGTAAGAACGTCCTTGCCTTTGAGTTAACTTTTTTTTTTTTAAGTAACCTTTTTGCAGGCCTCCCTATGTTGGCTGCGGCTGCAGGGCAATAATAGAGAGAAGGGGCAGGCCCACAACACCTGCCAGTCTTAATGGTAAACATATGTCGAGAAATGGAGAGAGAGAGTGAGCAGAAGCGAGGGAGGAAGGGAGAAGGCAAGCAAACTCCTTAAAGAGGCTCTAAAGAGGCTGTGTGTTCGTAGATTCACTGTGTTTTTGGGTACGTGCATGCATATGTGTGTTTGCTAATTTGCCGTTGTCTGCAGAATGTCATTTTGTCTGCTTGGGCCTATGCTAGCAGGGCCCTTTCTGAACATTTTGGGGCCCTAAGCGACAGTAAATACGGTTGGCTATGTTAAAATGATGTTAATTTGCAGCTCTACTAGTTTGCTGACGTTACTAACATACCGGACAGTAACGCAACATTACACAAAAGCCAAAGGTAATTAGCTAACTTAAGGCTAGCTAGCCTATAACATTATTCCAAAGGAAGAACACCACTTAGGTTTAGATTTTCCCTAGTTGTCAACATTGAAGGGCAAAGGCTTCTTGAAAAACAGCAGTACAATCTAACCCAACTGTAGTGTCATTACACATTCATTAATGTGTCAATGTTGTGGTCCAACACTGCATAATAGAACATTAACAATCGGTAGCATTGTAATGTATGGTAGCTAGCCTTCCTAACTTTTTCATTTCAACTAACAGCATGTCAACAGCTTTTGCAAAGGAAAAAGGTTAAATTTCGAAATCCTTACCTGTATTTCTTTCCGCCCTGTTTTTCCTCTTCTTATTTTTTCTTCTTATTTCCGTTTGTCTACTCCAGAGTGGTATGAGAGCTTCATCTTTTGTCATTGGGGTATTGACTCTGAATGTCATCACCATTCCCCAACATTACTTTTCATTCTGGCATCAAACCGACCGTCCACATTACGGCCGTCGTCATCTTGGCTTTTTGCAACCAGTGAACAGAAGTGACCATATTTGGACTGTGGAGAAGCGACGCCGTATTTGGCTCTGGTAGTGGTAGCGACCTGTCAATCCCAAGGTAGCCACGCCCTAAAACATACCGTGCTTACTCTAAATGGGACCATCATTTACTAAATGAACTTCATGCTGTATTGAAGAAAAGTGGCGATTGAGGCCAGAAACTCATGTTAACAATGCATACTGAGGTAATAAATCAAGTGAGAAGTAGTGTCATTTCTTCAGACTTCTATACAATCAGACTTCTGGGATTCTTCTCCTGCTGGTCAGTGGAGAGAATGCAAGTTTAACACATTTCCGCAGTGGCTTCACTTGCCAGAATCAAAGGTTGCCGCCTGGACTGGACTAGAATTGAGCTTTTCCTTTAAAAAGCAAATACCCCTGAAGAAAAAAAAAGAGAAAAAAACACCACTGCTCCCTGGTGGTTAGGAGGCCCATTACAATTGCTTATATGCCTTTAGGGAAAAAACGTCCCTTTATCATAGGTTGCATGCTGCAAGCCAGGGTCTGTGGATCATCACTTGTTTCTGCCCCTGGAACAAAAAGAGATCTGGATAGTAACACCCCCAACAGAATATGGTGATGGATGGTTAATGGTAGAGCAGCGTTATCAAATGTTCTGCGCAGCACTACAGCATCCAACAGGGTCATTTTACCAGTTCAGCACTCCACGGTTTGTCACCTACATGCCACTAACGTCTGTGCGTATGAGTCACATTAACACACACATGTCAACACACACAGGATGCATGTGTAGGTGCTCAAAGTGATCATCACAAGTGTTAGACTACGAGCCCTTGGTCTCCTGCCATGTCTTTGACACAAGTACATGTGTGGGGGTGGGTGTGTTTCTGTCTGATTTGTAGTGTGTACCTAGACTTGCATGCATACATTGCTGCTATATGTACATACATAGTCTGCGTGTATAAGCTCATTGTATGTTTGAGAGGTCTCCCCCTCTCTCCCACAGAGCTCAGCTGAGAACTACACGTCATGTCTGCCACCTTCTCTCTGGCCACAAAGCTGCCCATTATGGACAGACAGGGTTCAATGACCAGAGAGTGGACTCCAGCTAGATGAAGGCCCAGACCCAGCTTCCACAGCCCCTCCTCAATCATCATTTGGGCCTTTTATAGACTCTTTCTGCATTTCTGCTTGCTCTTTCATCTTGCTGTAAAATATCTATCCATCCATCCATCTGTCTATCTATCTCTCTGCACTAATCTTACATCTCTTCCCAGTCTTGTCCAGTAGTGTTCTGCCCCTATTGGCTGCAAGAAAACCAGTTGCCAAATCTACTGCCACTGACTGATTCACCTCCACCTGCTGCTTTTCCCTTTACCTGTTTCCCCCATTTCTCCTATCCTCAGCCCCACCAGCTCCTTCTTACCAGCCACACATCCTTTGTTTTTACACTATAGTCTTGCTTTGTTGTGTGACACAGAAGTAAATAGCATTTTCCAGAATGGTGACATGCATCTGCTTAAACACTGTCACATATCTTATTTTCTTAAATTCTTACAATTACATTTTCTTCATCTCATCCACACTCTCTCTCACACACACACACACACATACACAAACAACAGACATGTATGTGCACAATAGCTGCACACACACACACAAGACAACCCCCCCTTCCCACACACTTTCTCACTTGCTGGCTTGCCGGCTGGCTCTAGAAGGAGTCAAATGGCTCAATGTGTTAAAAGCATTAGCTAAGCATGGATCCAGCAGTGCTCCTCGGGCCGATATCATATGTCCTGCTTCATTACAGTCTGGTGTATACCTTCAGCTGCATCTTTGACCCTCCATCTATCTATCCCTCTCGCCTCCTTTCCTCCCCTCTCCTTTCCCCCCAGGGTGCTTTAACACAGCGAGGCATCTCAAGATGTCAGCTGAAGCATAGATGAGATCTCTCAGGTTTGGAAAATAGAAAAAGTGTGTGGTGTTGCAAAAATAAAAAAATTCAGGTCGGGAAAATAAGTTAAATAGCAATTAATTTAACTTTAACAAACTGTCTCTTGTCCACATGGCTGTACAGGTCTTATATTTTCCCACAACTATTTTGGGTCCTTATGTGACATTAACTACTGGGAGGGTGCTGACCAAAACCAGCTCGACAGTGTATGCATGAGGCAGACCGGCAAGTGGGAGAGAGATCCAAGTAGCGAGCCTGTAACCTGTAGCCTGCCGACTGTTTCCTCACACCACACCTCACATCCTGCAGCTGAACGTGTATGAGGCAGCAAACACACTGGGGCTTTTTCTCCAGACTTTACCGCAGCACTTGGCCTGCTGCACCACACTTGTCTCTCCATCACAGACAAGCAGGCAGCGCTAAGCTAACATTAGCACTTTTCTCCCTTCGTAAGCAGTTTGCAGTGTGAATGCATGCATTTGTGTGGAAGATCACAGATGACTAAAATCAGTCAGCAGCTTTTGGGGGTGACAGTGGAAGGGGGTATTATGTGACACAGTCAGCAGTGGTTATAATACAAAGACTCCAGGTGGGCACAGCGGACCACAACAAATGATCTTGGGAGGAGGTAGAAACTTCTTGAGTGTATCTTACTCTGCTAATTGGAAAAAAAAACCTTTAGCTGCTGGTGAATCCAGACTGTCTCAACTGATTTGTGTTAAATCAAAGCACATTTTTGTTGTTGTGATACTTTACAGAAGACTTGAGGGACAGGAGTGTGGAAAGGTAGTAGAGGAAGATGGAAAAAGTACTGGAAACAGAGAGAGAAATAAAGGGATTACATAGGGATACCTCAGGTCAACAGTAAAAGAAGAGAGATGTTTTCTTGTCTAAGATACTGTTAAGGGACGCATATCATCACTTATAGTCGTCAAGAGTGCAGGGTTTGGCTGAAGCAGCACAGCGGATATGGAGAAAAACTCCTCTTTCAATTACTTTGTGTCTGTTAGTCCTCTTTCAAACCGTTTGTTAAAAAGAAGGGAGAGGTTTTGTTAATCAGCTTTTGGCTTCAGTTTGGGGGCTCGTATATAACCCCCCCCCCCCTTTCCCTCCCTGTACCCCTGCCCCCCGTGTATGTAATAGATGAGTATAACAGAGTGTATGTTTACGAGCGCGAGTGCTGGACTTGGCAGGGCCGAGCGCTACTTCAGTGTCTCGCAGTTCATCACAGCTCAATGACTGACTGACTGGGCCCCTGTCTTTCTAGCAGAGTTTACATTATGTGCATACGCACTCACTCATACACAACTCCGGACTTTCATCGCTTCTCTTCTCTAAACTTGTCATTGTTTCTGGTTCCTAAGCTGCCTCCCAGGTAATTGTTTAAGATCATAGATAACTGTCCGTAGCCATTAACCATATTGTTCTCTCTCTCTCCCCCATCTTGTTTGCTTTCTCCCCTTGGCCCCTCCCTCCAGTGGTCCTATGCATTGGAGAAGCCCAACACAGGCAGTGTGTTCAGCTTGGCCTGGTCTGCAGACGGCACCCAGCTGGCCGGGGCCTGTGGCAACGGGCATGTCATCTTTGCCCATGTGGTGGAGCAGCATTGGGAGTGGAAGAACTTTGTGATCACTCTTACCAAGAGGAGAACCATGCAGGTGGAAAGAGCGCCGCACGCACGCACGCACGCACGCATGCACATCTACGTTTATGTTTTAACCTTAAAGAAAGTCTATTTAGTCTTGTCTAGGGTTTCAGTGACTCATGTCATTCTTAACTTTGAGTTTGTTTGTTAAAACAAAAGAAGTGATGAAGACTGACATAATACAAAACAATGACAGAAAGAGATTTTAGCAAAACAAATGCTGCAGTTTTATGCATATGCAAAGGAATCATGCTAAAAGTCCATCTTGATTCTTTGTCTGTCATAAAAGTTGTGGTTTTACACGTCATGGGGTTTTCAAACAAATATCACTGAAGATGAGTGTGTCTGTGAGGACAACTGATAGATTCTCAAACAACTCAGTTATGTCTGCATTTCGAGAGGATTGAAAAGTACTGCAATGCCATGGGCCGACTGTAAAGTGGTGAGTGAATATGCTATGGAGGGAAGCAAATGCTTCCCTGGCCTTGACTAGTTGTGGCCATATATTAAAGTAGGACCCTCCCTGTGTGCCAGTGTGCAGCCCTGCAATGACAATGACCAGCCTGTCTAGCTGCCTCTCTCGCTCCACCATTCTCTACTGTTTAAACTCACGCTAACCACAAGGTAGCGTTTACATGTGGTTAACACACCCAAATGTACATATATATACACACACACACACACACACACTTTCAGACAGGGACACACATGCACACCTCCCGAAACAAGGTCACACACACATACACGTGTGCCTACACACATGTGCACTCGTTTGCCATAGATATCTTTACCAAGTGTAGTTTGTGTAAACCAAACAAAGTCGGGTCATCAGCCATTTATTTTCAGCCTTGCAGGCACTTTTCTGTCTCCCTCCTCCCCTTCTCCTCCTCGCAGTCCTCTTTAAAAGTGCACATCTGCCAGTGGTTTGTGAATCAGCCAGCTAAATTTACCACCTTGCGGTCAAATGTTTTTTATTCCTGGTTGTGTTTCATGTAAATTTGGCTTGCTGGAGGGAGCAGAAGAGGAAGATCTGTAAAGCTATAAAAATAACCCCACCTTTCACCTGGTGCTGGAAAAGGCCTTTTCATTCATTCACAGAGAGAGCTGGAGGGAAGTATTTATCTATGCAGGTGAAAAAACGAGCAACTGCACCACCGCACGCACAAACTTAAAACAGTAAAAAACGGCTTCAACCGACCACAGTTGCCCTACATACACTTGGACGTACTGTAGACTGTTTCCTGTGTATATTAAGAATAAATACACTCCAATGCGTACGTGACTGTGTTCACCCCTCTGTTAGTGAAGCCAGTGGCTCCCATTTGTTGTTTGCATGTTTAAATGTAAAGTGTTTGTTCAGTAGTATAAAGTTGATGCCTGTTCAGTCATTCCTGAGGGATTTATTCATCTCTACACTTTTTTTCAGTGAACTCATCTTGTTTGTCGTCCCCCCCCCCCCTGTCCTTACCTTCTTCTTTCTCAGGTAAGGAATGTGATGGACGATGCAATGGACGCGCTGGAGTTCCGAGATCGAGTTATCAAAACCTCTCTGGCATACGGTCACCTTGTGGTCGCCACTTCCCTCCAGTGCTATGTCTACAAGTCAGTAGCCCACTCTTCCTTTGCTTTGTCTCCTGTGGTCCTCTGGTTTTATATTTACACTGGACTGAAAGGTGTCATAGTATGATTTTCATCTAATAAACACATCTTAAGGATAATCTTCAGATCCAACTGAAATAAACTGAGATTCCATACTGTGTAGATCAGATACATTTTGTCAAAAAATAAAAAAAGAGAGGAAAACTAAGAAGGCCTGGTGGGAAAAAATAACAACCACATCTTACTAAAATGCTGATTCTCACTGGGCTGATGTTATCTGATCTGTGTATGTTGAAGTGTCATTTTTACTTTACTTACCTCTACCTTTTCACTGCACTCTTCATGATCTATCTGTAGATGTATCTCCTCTCACTTCATTGACATTGCCTTTATTTAGTTGTCTTTCAATACTCTGTTCTTGGTCTTGTCTCTCTGGTCTTCTCACCTCTGGACTTATGCTAGATTTAGCACTTTGCTCTTAGATGTTCACAGATTTTACTGTCTGTTTTTGTGCTGTTTATTTGTGCCAGCTCAAGGAACTGGAATACTCCCCTCATCTTTGACCTGAAGGAGGGAACAGTGAGCCTCATCCTGCAAGCGGAGAAGTGAGTCTCTCTATTCCAGGAGCAGTGCAACAAGAGGGAGAACAGGCTGTTGGATCATCTATCAGCTCCTCTAAAGCTTCATTGCTCCACACTGATCACTCATCAAGCTGCAAACCAAGCATACACACACGCACGCACGCACGCACGCACACACACACACACACACACACACACACACAGGGTCTGTGCTCTCGATTAGCCAGTCTTGACATACAATAAGGCCGAGAGTGAAACCACTGGGGGAAATTGTATTAATATGGAGTAGGTCTTGTGCAATACTCAAGTGCAGTGCCTGACACTCAGCATACAGCTAAATAGATTATTGGCCATTCTGAAATCACATTTGAGTCTTGCTGAGTAAGTTCAAGTTGTGTTACTGTGCATTACATGTCTAAATTACCTGCTTCTGTCAGTTGATTAACTGTTAAAGAGTGTTTATTCTTTTACTCTTTAACATTTATCATATCTCCTTACTTGGTCCCCTTCTTCCCTCTCCATGCCATCCCACTCACCCACAGATAATATCATAGATTTTCAGTACACTTGTTTAACGCTCATCTACTGTATTTTCCCGTCTCCCCCACCCAGACATTTTCTGCTCGTGGATGGAGCAGGGTTGTATACATTCTCCTACGAGGGAAGATTGATTTCCTCCCCCAAGTTCCCTGGTATGAGAGCTGACGTCCTAAATGCCCAAGGTGTCTCGCTTAGTAATGACACCATCGCCATCCGAGACAAAAGTGATGAAAAAGGTAAGGGGACTGCTGTCACCACTTTAATCCTGTGAATAGGACGGACTTTGCTTTTACAATGTTCTCTTTACGTTTCACCTCACCAGTCATCCTTCTCTTCGACGCCCTGACTGGGAAATCCCTTGGCGATGGCAAGCCCTTGACTCACAAGGTGGGTAATCCTTTGCCCTTAAATTGACCGTATGTGTTTCAGTAACAAGGAAGTGCTCCAACCCCCAAATTAGAGACTTTCTGCTACAGCAGTTGGACAAACATTTACCGCGGTGACTGGTATTGTGCTTTATTATATGTGTATAACAATATGATATCATATCGTGCCAGAGTGTGACCCTTGAAGATCTGTGTTAGTACAATATTTCATTATGCACAGTGAAGACTCATTCAGTTAGTTACACTATGACATCCAGCCCAGTTGTCTCTGACAGAGGCTCATTATTGTGTGTCAAACTAATTATTCCAAGTTATATTACCAACATAAAATGATTGTATGTGGGTGAAAGATGTGTTTTAATATATACATCAGACTCCAGACTCCCAAAGCAAATCAATCAGCTTGTGCAGTGATCGTTTGTGAAGAATGCAAGTAATGTTAATAACTTCTAACCTGCATCACCGAACTAATAAGTTAGCATCAGGTTTCTTGATGCTTTTTACTATAGAAACAGCTACTGCAACACACAGTAAGCTAGTGGTAAACTAGTTAGCCCCAAATATAATTTTGCACCAGAAATCATCTCTTTTCTCTTATATCTGTGGTGGACAGGGTTTAAAAATGTGTATCTGTGTTCCCAACTTTGAGAAAATGTACAGTAGGCTGTGTGGTCCAATTAGACCCAGCATCTTCCCCTACATGTCTGCACTGTATATTTGAGCTAGCTAGCCAAGCCTGCACTATAAGATTGATGCAGCTCCTTATTTTTATCTTCTACATAAATCAACAGGTGACAATGCTGACAGTTTGCCTGCACACTTTAAGCTTTAGCTAAATGTAGTGGCAGTATACTTACCCATATCCAGGAGGGAGAGAAACAATACAGCCACAGGAAGAACATGGGGGAGGGGCTTTGGAGTCAAACTAAGCGGGAAAGAGACAGAACTAAGGGAAGAATTAGAAGAAAAGGAAAAAAACAAGACAAGGTAGCATTAGTTACTGTTTGTTAGCATGGCTCTGTCTGCCAGTACTCCACAGCTCCAACACACTGTACCAGGCCAGCTGGCTGTGGCCAAAAGCACACACACATAGGGCTCTGCAATAAAGCCTTCTATCCAAATACAGGTCATTTCATATCTTGATAACAAAATACCTCACAATATAGCATGTTTTCAAGTAATTCAATAGATAAGTAGTCTATATATACATATATATATGTAGAATATTCCCGTTCCTTTTCTTTCCTGATCTTTTGTGGTCTGTCCATCATTCACTCAACTGTTCCCTCTTACCTTTGTGCTTGCGTTTCATTATCATGTACAGCTGGAGGTGGTGGAGGTAGCTCTGGACCAGTGTGGCCCATCCACTGAGAGGAAGATCGCCCTGATAGACAAGAACCGTGATCTTTACTTGACCTCAGTGCGTCATCTTGGGCGAGAACCCAAAATCTGCAAAATTGGTGAGACAAGAAGGAGGGAACTCTCTTGAGAAGATGTGTAGTGACTCTCTTTGTTTTTACACGCAAGTGTGGCTAACATCGGATGAACGTGATCATTGTGTGTGCTCCGTCCTGTAGGTAGCATGGTTCACAGTATGGCATGGAATGATGCCGCTAACATCCTGTGTGGGATCCAAGACAACCAGTTCACAGTGTGGTACTACCCAAGTGCTGTCTTCACTGACAAGGAACTGCTGCAAAAAACACTGTATATCAAGGATGGCAGGTAGATGTGCAGTCATTTTCTCCCACTTTTATAATGGTATTTTTTAATAAAAAGCTGATACTGTTCACCAGAGAGGAAAATATGAAAAATAAGAGCAGAAGCAGATTTTTTGGTACCTTCCAGCTCATTCCCGAGGTACAACAAATAGCACTTAAGGCACTATTTTTTGCCAGCAGCTGTCAGATTGTGCAATGCTTCCTGCCCAAAAGGCCTAAACTTCAGCTTCAGTACAGAAGCTGGTATTTACTTTCTGTAGAGTCGATCACGGACTAGTTTTGATTGTCTCTGCGTCTGTCAGTGGTTTATGGCTTGCTAATTTCTTACATTTCCAGTGCTGAATCATACTTTTTCAGACACCATGAATCAAGTTATGGTAACACTATCTCAATTTGAGTTGGTATTTTTCACTTTTTTCAGCTTTTACTGTGGTGGTGCTCCAGCAGCCAGATTTCATTTTAAAAGTTAGTTTCTTTTGCAATGTACAAATGTGGAACACCTCATGCCAAGCGGCAAAAGCTAAAGAATAAATACAAAGGCTCCACTTTCACTTTTTTTTCTGATATCTGTGATTGAAGGCAGATTGGACCAAGTGCAGTACAGTGCAGGTTACAAAAGCAGCACTGTCACTATGTTATATCAGTTCATTAATATTGTATACAGTATGTGGTGGGCTGCCACAAATTTCTCTTTGTATTAGAAATCCTGACACACACATGCACACATAAGCAAACTGGAAAAAAACTGCATGGTCAATAATTAGTTTGTTGTATTCTTGATAAGCACAATCCATCGGCTTCTACATGTTAACATGTTAATGTAGTTATAATACATTGCATTACCCTATATATGTTATTGAACAGTCTTTTTTCCAACATGTTTTTCTCACGCCCGCTAATAATACTTGCAAACAGGGGAACACTGAGTTCCTTGCTGGCTTTTCTGTGACAGCAAAACTTTAAGGATGTGGTTACTTGTATTTGTTCTAACTCTGATGTGTGTGTGTGTGTGTGTGTGTGTGTGTGTGTGTGTGTGTGTGTGT